TCAACTGGGGGGCTGGTGACACCCTCTGCGTCAGGCTCTGGCTTTGCTTCTCTGGCTGGGATCTGAAGCTGGCAGGACAGACAGCCAGGAAGAAAACAGGGATGTGAAGTGAGGAAGAGTGAGGACAAGCTGGAACCTGCAGGACAGACCGACAGCTGCGCTGGTCCAAGTTCAATATGTGGACCATATTCACCAGGCGAACCCGCCCTGAGGGGTGCGGCCCGGCCCCTGCCCACAAGGGCAGATGAGCCACAGCAGGCTGGGTGCCTGATGCCTGCGCTCACCTGCCAGCCTCAGACAGACCCCGGTGCTGCTCCTCTTGCACCCGCCAGATCCGCATGAACCGTCCCTTCTGGCCCAGGCTGACCTGGAAATGTTACAGGAAGAGAATTTGGAGAAACACAGTTCCTTCTTAAGTAAGTTGACTCAATACAAATCCTCCACACGAACACAGGTGCAAACCCTAAGGAAGAGGACTGGTTTCCACCAAGGTGCAGATGGTGTTTGTTGAACAGTGGGGGCGCAGAGGGAGCTGTGTATGCTATTCGAAATGAAAATGTTTTTAACCACAAAATCTAGGGGAAAAATTAAGGAGAAAGTGATCAGAAGGACAAAGGGACAACTCGGGTCATTGTGAGGCTCCACTTCAGGGAGTCTAATTGTGACCCTGTACTTTGGAGTCACAACTCACCAGATTAAAAGAAGATAGTATCTGCCACTGCTCGGAGGAGAGAAATAGGCACAGCCTTTAGAGCAGGCATGTGGTGCTATCTACTGCAGTGCACGCCACCTCTGATCCAGAAACTCCCCTTCTACAAAGCTATCCTACAGAAATGCCCGCCTCGGTGGAAAATGTACACAGGATATTCACCATTATGTGTAAAAGTCGAAGCTTAGAAACAACCTAAATATTCAATAATAGGGAACTGGTGAATACACTATGAAAGTACATCCACACTGCAAAATGCATTGAATGCAGTGGTTTTAAAATAATGTTAAAAATATTATGCTACGTGGAAGAAGCCAGCAAAGAAGACCACATCTTGTATGATTCCATTGTCATAAAACATTTCTAGAAAAGGGCAAATCTATAGAGACAGAAAGCAAATGAGTGGCTGCCTAGGGCTGGGGGTGGGAACAGGGACTGATCGCAGAAGACACAAGGGTTCTTTGGGGGAATAAAAATATTCTAAATCTGCATTATGGCAATGGTTACACAACCCCGTAAATTTACAAAAAATCATTGGATTGTATACCTAAAACAGATTGTGCATCTTACAGTAGGTAAATGATACCTCAATAAAGCTGTTTTTTAAAAAGAATCTTTAAAAATAAGGAAGTGGTTATTAATATATGAATGGACATGGAAAGGTCTTCAAGAAATAATGTTGAATGAAAAAGGAAAGCAGATGATTCATGAATTGATGTTTACTCAACTTCTTTAAAATTTCAACAAAAATAAAAAAAGAAAAGGGAAGGTAGAACAGCATGCATAGTAAATGGCTTACTCATTTGTGTAAAAAAACACTGTAACATATGTGGGTTTATAAATGTTCAGAAAAATGTCAAGAGGATATACACCAAGCTGTTAATAGGAGTTATCGCTGCAGAGAATTCGAGGGTGTAACCATATTCATGTTGGTTTGTACAGTTTCATGTGGTTTCAGTTTATTTTGTTGGGGCTGAATTTTTCCCAAAATGAAGGATCTAAGGCTGACAGTGGATGGCGCCTGCCAGGCCAACATGGGTGCAGCCCTCCTCGT